TATTAGCATAAATGTATCAACAGATTATTAATGTTTTTACCTACTTTAGTCACAGCCAGAAGGTTTGTATGGCTCAATGTTCAAACTTTAATCAAAATAAAAGCAAAAATCTTGGGTGGAACATTTAAAACAAATAAGAAAAATAATGAACCAGTATTTTCTGTCAAATATGTCTCATTCCAATGTAATATAGTTTATTAAACAAAGAAAACAAAAATTCTTACCAAAAAATTGCTGACAATTATAAATAGTGCCACCAAAATATTACATTTGAAAAAGAAAAATACTTGAAATAGTTAAGTTTAGGGTTTTTTAAAGTATAAGTACACTGTCTCTATGAGTGGCATCTTTTATGCACTTATGTAAATCAGAAATCTAGGAATCTTCCTTGAAATGTCTCTGGCCCTAAGCCCCCAAAGTCACTCCATCACTTGGGTGTCAGTTTTCCCCCTAAGTCACTCTGAACTCACTTTCCGCTTCTTTTCTTTTTTTTTTTTTTTTTGAGACAGAACCTCAAGCTGTCCCCCTGGGTAGAGTGCTGTAGCATCACAGCTCACAGCAACCTCCAACTCCTGGGCTCAAGCAATTCTTCTGCCTCCACCTCCCAAGTAGCTGGGACTACAGGTGCCCACCACAATGCCCGGCTATTTTTTGGTGGGCCCAGGCTGGATTCGAACCTGCCAGCTCAGGTGTATATGGTGGCGCCTTAGCCGCTTGAGCCATAGGCGCCCAGCCACTTTCCACTTCTTAAGCTTCACCACCACCATCCTGGTACAAGCAAATGCTTTTCTCTCTTAGACCTTACATGTACCCTCACTGGTCTCCTGTCTCCCACTGCAGTTTACTCTCTACCTGTAGCTAGGATGATCTTTTAAAGATGCAAATCTGCTGTGTCGCACCCCTGTTAAGCCATCGATGTTTTCTCCTTGCTTAGGACCAAACACCAAACTGCTTAACCTGACCCCCACTGTGGTGTGATCCAGTGGCAGCCTGTTGGCCCCCCTTGGGTCAGCCTTGCCCTTCATCTCTGAACTCCAGGTCTGTGGGCATCATTTCATTCCTTGCTTCTTCCCTTGGGGCACCTGCTGGTCTACCACGCCTGCCCCCACCCCCCCACCCCTGCCTGGAGAGCCCTCTCCTGGACACTTCTGCCCACTACCCCTCCGTCCTGCATTCTTCCAGCCCAGTGTCATCTTCTCAGGGACATCTTTGCTGCTGCCCCAGCCTGGGGGTCCCTTGTTATGTGCTCTCATAGCATAGAACATTCTTCCTTTTTTATTATTTGCCCCATGCAAATACTCCTACCCCAGCAGAATTTAAATCCCGTGAGGGGAAGGACTTGACTTGTTCACCGCTGTTTGCCCAGCATTTGGTGTGCATTGAATGAATATCTCATATTCACTACTGGTTGTTACTTGCTGTCTCGGTTGTTCCTGGATTCACCTTTCTCCCGCTAGACTGTGAGCTCTCTGGGGGATGAGGCACATCTGCTCTGCTTGCCCTGTGTCCCCGCCCCTGCACCACGGGGGGCAGGCCTTCCTCAGTCCTGTGCTGAATTCTTGTATCACAGTCATGGGGAGAATGCAGAGGACAAATCACACCAAAAGGGCAACAGTGACTTGGGTTAGGATTATGACAATATGACAGACTTGTTGCTGTCTATCTCCAAAAAATATTTAATGGAAAAATGACAACATAAATACAAATTCAGAATTAAACAGAAAGAAGAAATAACTGTACACGGCGGCACCTGTGGCTCAGTGAGTAGGATGCTGGCCCCATATACCGAGTTTAGCAGGTTCGAACCCGGCCCCTGCCAAACTGCAACAAAAAAATAGCCAGGCAGTATAGCGGGTGCCTGTAGTCCCAGCTACTCGGGAGGCTGAGGCAGGACAATTGCCTAAGCCCAAGAGAGCTAGAGGTTGCTGTGAGCTGTGATGCCACAGCACTCTACCGAGGACGACAAAGTGAGACTCTGTCTCAAAAAGAAAGAAAGAAAGAAAGAAAGAAAGAAAGAAAGAAAGAAAGAACTGTACATATTGAACAATAAAAAAGCAAAAATAAAATTGAACATAACGAATTAAGGTAAAAATAGAAATGATACCTATAATTATTCTACTCTAAAAGATTGTGCAGTTTCATTTTTTCTTATCTACTTGTCACTACTATTGGAAGTGTGTCCCAAATGAAGGATCATTTGCATATAGTTGTATTAGGTACAATGTTGTATTTTGTCTTTCCTATTTCATATGGGGTCGTATATATTTCCCCAGGATTCTGCATTGTCTGTATATTATTGTTAACAACTTTATGATGTTCACTTAAAGTAATGGACTTGGAGTGGGATTATTGCTTTAAGATGTATTTCCTGGAGTATAATTCGAAGTGTATGAGTACTTGCAGGGAAATACAGGCTGTTGGTTCCATTTGCCAGAAGATGGGAAAGATGGCAGTGATGGGTCTGAGTCCAAGTGTGGAATGAGTGCTTGAGCTAGGACTAAGTGAAGTATGATTATTTTTAAAAGAGTCTACGTTACATCAAGCCTGTCGGGGAAAACGTTGTGTTTACATAGGATATTCATAGTCGGGTAGCTTGACCATCTTCTGAAATGAGATATTGCAGTGTCCACTAAGAAGTAGAGGAGGCTGCTGCTGGCACTGGAGGCCCGGCAATTAAGGGGGTGGTCCGAGAAAGTGGAGGTTGTGTATAAACGTGGCACATTAGTAAGCAGGGGTTGCTAAGTTGGAGGCAGCCAGTATGGGTTAGATGCAGACACTTAAGGTTTTCTAGTCTGTTCTATTAGTAATGGAGGACGCAATAGAGAAGAGACCGGCTGACCAGGGTCAGAGGGTGGCAATGGCAAAAGAGGAGGCAGCAATGCGGATTTTGTGGGCTGAGCAGTGACGGCTGCCTAATGCTTTTCAAAACACAAGTCGGGGCAGGGTGACCTCTGGCTTCTTTCTCCAGTATTTTTGTGAAATGGCAGTATCGTAGCCTCAAGCAGGAACTTGAGTTATGGCCATCTTAGTTCACTGCCTTTAACCCCAGATTTGCTGCTTTGCAGACATCTTGTTCATCATCTTCTTGGTAATACCATGACCCTAACACTTGTGCCTTCCAGCAGACCCCGGATAAAAGGCAAAACTGCTGAGTCACATGAAATGCTTCCACAAACAGCAGAATTCCCAGGCCTGAAACCCAGCAACAGGCCTAACTTCTTCATCCGTGCTTTGCAAAACCAGCCAGTTTATCAGCCTTGTGATGAAGTTTTGTTTTGTTTTGTTTTGTTTTAGAGACAGAGTCTCAGTTTGTCACCCTTGGTAAAGGGCTGTGGCGTCACAACTCACAGCAACCTCCAGCTCTCTTGGGCTTAGGTGATTCTCCTGCCCCAGCCTCCCGAGTAGCTGGGACTACAGGTGCCCGCCCCAGCGCCCGGCTATTTTGTTGTTGTTGTTGTTGTTGCAGTTAGGGCCGGGGCTGGGTTTGAACCCGCCACCCTCGGTATATGGGGTCAGTGCCCTACTCACTGAGCCACGGGTGCCACCCTGTGATCAAGTTTTTCAAACTCCCTTTCTTCTCATTTTACCTCAGTGCAAGGATGTCCCCTTCTGGATTAAGCACCTTGTATTTCCAAACAGCTTAAATAGAGCAAATGATTTACTTTGAAAAAAAAAAATCATGACATCCAGTGATTTAATTAAGGACTTAGATCAGTATTTTCTTTTCTTTTTTCGTTTTCTTTTTTTTTTT